AATTAAACACCTCCACATATATGGGTAGAATTTGTAGTCGTTATGTGAAGCATTGAATCGTGAAAACTCTAAGCAATTAGAAACTCTTCTTGTAGCATGTCTTTGTCCACTTGCTTTGTGGTGCATATATTCAGAATTATCATACAATATTGCTCGCGTGATGATAACAATCGGTGATCCGTACGCTTATTCGTCAAAATTAATGAACGAAACCTTTGAAGTGTATAATGTAAATAAAATTATACTATATATACTATACTATACTATACTATACTATACTATACTATACTATACTATACTATACTATACTATACTATACTATACTATACTATACTATACTATACTATACTATACTATACTATACTATACTATACTATACTATATGATATATTTGATTAAAACATTGTTTCAGTAGCACACAGTTAAGGGACAACGTCAAAAGATCGATGTCGGATAAAAAACTTATTTCCTTTAGTTTGGGGGTGGGGGGTTTTGACCTCAAAAAGTTTCCATCCTACAAAAACGATTTTATTTTTTAATGAAGTCAAAAAAATCTTGGAGTATTTGTAGTTCGTTTTTTTCTATCCAATCATGGACAGAAATAACCGAAAAGGAAAAAAAACATCCAAGACGAGAAAATGGTTTGGTTCGAGTGTAAATCTGTGCGTCAAATGAGGTGCATTTGTAAAATCTTTTTACACCCACCCGACAACCAACTGCTACGCAATAATACTGTCAAATTATCAATTTGTATTTAATGGTGAATGTAGTCTGACGCCATGACCAATATTTATCAATTAAGTTTCAGTGCGGGGTAGGGGGGTTTGGAAAAAAACTAAAGGAATTAAGTTTTTTATCCGACATCGATCTTTTGACGTCGTCCCTAAGTATTCGTTCGATAGACATTGATATGTGTTAATACACTATTTTGGTATGTACAGTAATACTTACTGCATATGTATATTAGTGTTGTTTGTTTTAAATCGTACTAATATGTGTGATACCTAAACAACATTTTAGTTTGCTATAATTCATAATTAAGTTTGGTCATCAGGATGAAGTACTGAACAACACTATTAAAACCAGTAAGGTCTACTTCCAAAGCTGGACGCTGTACCGATACCGTTGACATCTCTCACTCCATTGTGGTCATTGTGTATGTAGGTATATCGTACATAGCTACATCACTAAGACGTTTTAATCAACGTATTATTCTTCGGCAGTAAACATTATATTTCATTGCAATTACGTTACATATGTTCGCAGACAATTTCCGTTTGTACTTAAATCAGGAAAGACGGCATGCTCGATTTCCGGTGGGCTCAGACTTCCACAACCTACACTTAATAATCAAACAATACCCAGCGGCATACATACATATGCATTCGATTTACAAATGACATTTTGCAATGAGGGAAAATATTCTCCACTTTCCAAACAACAACTTGTCTGCGTGGGACACCATTTAGTTATTATAGGGTGTATCATTACAATCAATTAAGTGCATTTCAGACTCAAATTTCTACAATTTGGGCATCTCTACAAATTATTACTAAAATGTGGGCAAGAAAAACACAAATAATATCCCTTGGTTGTAACAATTTGTTACTGGGGGCCTTTGAGGAAACAGAATTGTATGCATATCCTATTACGCCATGGGGTTATGTAATCAGGTAAAGGTAGAGCAGTTGAACAATATTGGTGAACAACGTTACCATGGAGATTTAATTAATTAGGTAACTAAGCTTCATGAAATGTATTGCGGCTATTGGTAAACTTGCATTCAGCATGAAAAATAATAGTAAACTTAGTTGTGTGTCCCGTATTGAATATCTCTGATTTTTAGACAATGAAGATGCGGCTGGAGCGAACAAGGGGTGTTATCCCAAATAGCACGTGATACTTTTAAATACATCCATGCAATATAAATTACAGTAATCAAATTGGCCATGTACGCAATATGAAGGGAAATCACAAACTGCAAACACATAAATTAACTATGTGATGTCACAATTGGTTTCATTACAAAAATAAGTCGTTTGATGACAACTATAATTAAAGTCGACATGTCGAGAACAATATGAATTTATAACATAGCAACGTGATATAACAACAGGCTTTCCAACATGCAAATGCTAAAGAACAATGCAGAACGTGAAAAAAAAAAAACGTCTGAAAAACTGAACAGAAACGCTTGAATGATTTTCTGGGAACATAATAAATGTTTTTGTTTTTCAAGGCGACAAAGCAGATTTGTAAGTATACTCTCCACAAACGGGAAATCATCAATTTCGATGTGGCTTACCGGCACACCAACATCGAGTTGAATTGAATTTGCGTCATTGGAAAATAGTCCTTTATCTATTTTACAGACATTCTCAAACCGATTTCGTTCTAATGTAGTACAAAGACACAAAATAAGAGTGTTATATTGCAGTTTCGTTGACTGGTGGTCATTTCGTCTTGGAAACCAACCAACATAATATGATCTTAGGGAACTCTAAAAGCATAGCTCTCCTACAGAGCTATTTCTATGAACTCTCTCGACCCTGTTGTACATACTTTATATCGTTCATGATTCCCAAGTGGGAACTTACAGGTTTGTTGTGCGCTCCCTCTGCATAGCAGAGAAATAAATTCTTCCATTTCTACTTATATGCGCACATAGAAAAACGTATGAATATCATATACCTTAATATTGATAAAGATACAAATCCGTTATACTTAATTGAACGTTTTTAAACTTTCGACATCCTATATACTTCATCGACTAGGGGTGGTGGTATTAAGACATCACTATGCTCTTATCAGTGGGTAGCAACAGTTTATTTACAGCTTCTGTCGACTTATACATTTGTTTATCCCAGGTTCGCTTAATCTTTAGAAGCCACCAGTTCTAAATCACTCTTTAGCAGACTCACTAGATGAACCAAGTCTCTATTCAAGTATAGAATTAAGGTGCTACCACGTTACTCACTGGATGAACCAAGTCCCTATTCAAGCATAGAATTAAGGTGCTACCACGTTACTCCTTACTACAAGAATCATTATAACCAGAATCACAATTATCCTTGGTAGTCTGTCCAAGTCTTGTTCATCACTCTCACTTGTGTTTTCACATTATTTTCTCTCACCTCGTGTTATACGTTATTCTAGCTGCGGTTTGCAGAGACTCTCATTACACTTCAATAACGATGCCTTGGCACAATGAGTGCTGGGCAAATCAGGTGACCAATTTATTGCCACCTGAGGGTGCTATTGGATGGTTAGCCCTTCAAATAGATTCAATGCTCAGTATTGGATAACGAAAAACAGGTATGACTGAATGTTGTTAAATTTAACCTTTTAACCACCTGTTCACTCTTTTCATCACAAATTCACAAAATAGTCCTGTTAATAGTCTGCACTTTTCTTCAGAAATTTGAGACATAACAAGCCAAATGTTTTCAATAAAAACTGAAAATTGACTAACATTTTGCCTTTCAGCTCAAAAATTAGGGTTCATTTCCAGAAATATTGGAGAATTGTAATAAAAAAAGTTTGGGCAAGAAAGTCTGGTGGTGAAAAAGTCAATAGATTCATGAAAATCAACCATAAACTCTTTGAGTTAAAATAAAAAATCATTTCTAAAATTTCTATTTCCATGGTAACCATGACCATATTTGTACTGAATTTTGATGGGGTCGTCCTTGTATCAAAGACAACCCCTTCTAAAAAGTGTACGATAATTCTCATTGGCAAGGGTAGTGTGTTTATGGTGCACGGTATCAAGCTGAGCATGTTACAAGTACAAACAACCACTATACAAAAGTATGAATCTTATTCCCATTGCTTTATTTTTTTATTTATTCCTTGAAAATACAGTAAACCTCTTAAATTCACATTACACATGCTGAATGAAGTTGTTGCCACTAGTCAAACAAACTGGCAGTAAATTCAGAATACCAGGTATTTTAATATAAAGTGCCTTGCATGTTCAATCATGTAATCTACACAAAGCATTTGGAGATTTGAATTCCTGGATATATCTATGTAAGCTGGAAACTAAACCACTGTAAATAGCATGACAATTTATCCCCATTTCTGAATGCATACATTCAATTAATATGATCACATTTACAAGGCATCAATAAATTGTGTGTTGGATTTCTGAAAAAAAACACTAGTGCCTAGGGAAAAAAAGCAAAAAGGTTTCTGGTCAATTTTTACAAAATTGATGCACACAGATTTATATTTTTTTTAATTACAATTGGGCTTTTTTCAAAAAAACTACAAACAATTTTAATGGAAATTTCCAATGACCAGAAACATTTTTTTCTAGACCCAAGTACTGTCAAATCCTCAGTAAGTAATATTGAAATGCATATTTAACATTTAAACAAGAAATAAATGTGTAATGTGATACTCACTTATCGTGTAAACTCTATAGTAAATCAATTGAAAACTCTAAACATCAATAATTTGTTAGCATACCCTACCATTTATGCGATGAACAGCAAGGCAAATAGGCAAAAAAATGCATATCTCAGATAATTTCACTTTTATTGACCCTGCATGTAACCACAGTGTTTTATAAATATCTACCTAGGATTGCTAAATAATAATTGAAGTAGTTGACAGGATAATGATAAATGCACAATTGTTAAATTCACAATTCGTTGTACCTTTGCAAGACATCCAAAAAATGTGAATAACAGTTTCCATTCATAATGTCAAAATGATAATGAAAATTGAAAAAAAAAATCAATATTACAAAAAAGCTGAGGAACAAGCATTGATTTTATAAAGACATTTCTAGACTTGCATATATGTGTGATATTAATTTATTGTTCATTATAATTAATGGTATTTAAGGACAAGACAAAAAAATTTCCCATATCACAAAAATTAATATTACTTTTTCAATTATTAAAATCATCAGGTTCCAAGAGAGGAAGAAACCAACAAATGACAAACCATCGTATGTATTATATATATATAGAAATAAAGTGGTGGTGAACATTTATTATACACTTCTCTTCCAGCATACAGATTTGATATGAACTGAACTGAACTGAACTGAACTGAACTGAACTTAACTGAAACTTAACTTGACGAATTAGACAAATTGCACCCCTTATACATGATTCAATGTCATTTCCTTTGTCTAAACAAAAATCTTGTATTTCTATTGGGAAAACAAAAACATGCGTGAACTAGTAAGCAGGTAAGTAGAAAACCAGTTTATTGATGTCTGGAATAATTTGTTTGCCAAAAAAAAAACACCCCCTGTAAATATTTTTGCAAGATACCATGACAAAATAAAGACGCAAGCTGTATCGGAACATAATTTGAATCTAAAATAACTAACCTGAATTTTAGCGAAATTAATACTTATTGCTGTATCATCAAATTTATGACTTACTGGACACTTTGTGAGTGTGCATTGATTACTAAAAACTAAAACTTTATATACCATGCCAGCACTAATAGCTATGATGAACAAAAACAGTACACAGAAAAATGGAAAGCATTTATGCCATTCAAATACAATTCATTTCATTATTATGCCAATCATCCATGTAAATAATCCTTAAATTTGTACAAATACCAATCCAGGAAGGAATCACAATGAATATAAAATGTGTTAAATAATTATTTATATATTGTATATCAAAGTTATGTTTCAACATTTAAATATATTAATGGGTGGATTCTTCACTTTATTGATATGGTATACACTAATTCAGAGTTGATTTATATTGTATTCAGTTTTCTTCAGCTTACTTAATCAGCTTCTTGTTTCTCTTTTTATTCAGCTTTCAGTAGTTTACTGTAGTCAGCTTGTTGTTTTTCTTTAAATGTACTCTTCACCTGCTGTCTTTTCAGCTGACCATCCCTGTCAGTACAAAATAACGTTGAGGCACCACAGTATTTTTTCACCAATTTTTAGGGTTTTTTAATTCATGTAATATTGAGCTTACTGAATTGAATTTGGTTTACCAAATGAGTAAACACAATGTGATGCATCATGTAATATGGCAAATAATTATGGCATGCAAATGACAACCAACAATTATTTTCTAGGTGTAGCTATCATATATATAACATAGAGACCATAGCATTTACATCATATGTGTTTATTTGGTATCACTAGAGTGATTTTAGATTATATGAAACCAGTTTGTGCTGACTGTTAGAGTGAGTTTGGACCTTATACCTTGATTGGCTATCAAACTGTGCCAATCAGGTAACATTTTCTTTTTGTTTGTTTTTTCTGACCAATCAGCTTCTTGGTTCTAGACTGTTTGAATAAACAGTGATAGTGTACAGTAGTATTAAGTAATAACTCTATTATACATGGACCAGAACTAAATTAAAACATACTGCTATAATGATCAGTGATAGCCCAGTGTTAGAATTTATTTATCTTTCTATTTATTACATTGTTTCAGCAAACTGCCGTTAATATGAAATAAAATAGCCCAAACACTAATATGCGTCTAGACACAGACACTAAATGCCATACTTACCATACTAAATCTAATAGACCGCCTTGCTTAGCTATAGCCGACTTAACACGATTAGCAAATTCCACAGCACTCTCATCATCCTGTTATCAAAAATACAATATAATAAAAACCTCATCCTATAGACACATATGAATGAAATTTACCCATTGCACATAATTAAAACATAGTGTAACTATTAAAATTTTGCCCATTCAGAATCTATATTAAATAATGAATAAGAATTTTGGACAATACAAACTAAAAATGCACCCAGTACCTTTACAGACTTTTATTTGGATGGCAAAAGTGAGAATAAAAGTCCTGTAACAATGCAATAATATACACAATTTTACGTGGCACTTGGACAACTCAATAATGTGGAATGGTATAATTTTACTTACTTTTTTTGTCATTGGTGGCAGATACCAAACATCACATACTAATGCCCAGCTGGTGAACATTAGTATTAAATATTCTAACAAAGAGAATTTACTGCTATTCCAGAATGCATCTCCGAACCTTGGGTCATACTGATAACAGAAATATATAAATCAGTATGGGACAAATACAAATACTAAATGCAGAAAGAAATACAACAAGCATAGTCACTTGTACATTAAACATGTACAAGTACAGTAACAGAAATTTTTAGCTATTTCACAGAATTTAAAATTAATGAAAAATAAAGAACAATTGATCAACACTGCACACTCATTTCCTGACATTTTGTCTATTTTTCTGTTTATAATAATTAATAGGTTAATACATTATATATTATGTAAATATCTAGTTTTATTTTAACAAAATGACTGCTATTGAATTGAAGCAAAACAAAGCTGATTAAATTGGTCTCTGATCAATTAAAAACCTGATATAAAGATCAAAAATTTGAAAAAAAAATAGAACATTAAATAATTAATGATTCCAGTTATTTGTATTAAATAATTAAATATTTCACAGTTATATGTAATAAATATTTTACCTTAATGGCTACAGGGTATATAGTAGCGTTAATCTCAAAGCAGCCTTTCTTAAACATCATAACTGATGTATTGTTAATACAAGTGCCTGAAAATAAAAAACAAATGAGATCATTGGGGAATTTTTTAACAATGTGAAATTTGTTAAATACGCAATCCTTGTTTTATAAAATTCTTGTTGTTTTACAAAAAAATCTAGGTATGAAAATTCTCAACAGTCAGTGAAGAAGCAATGCCATTAGAGGATAAGATCACTAGCAGATATTCAGCAACAATATATAGCAAATTATATCAATATTTCATATAGATGAGATTAGATATATGCAAATTACATGTAGCTACTTAATATGCATGGACACTGCCCTAAAATTACAAGTAATCATGCCTGTGCACATTACCCTGTGGTACCTATGTACTAAATTTGATCAAAATCAAAATACAATTTAGAACCAGACCCAGACCAAGACTCAGATTAAGATTCAAGACCCAGACAGACCAGAAGGACAGAGAGACACACATCAAAATCACAAGATTAATTAAAATATCACATTGGTTTAATACAAAATATAATGTAAATCGATTTTTAATTGTACTAAATATGGCAGGTAGGGGAAAATCCTAGAATATTGTAGCAGTAAATATTTCATGGGATTCTTAGAATAAGAATTGCAGTGACTTAAGCAGCGTTGTCAAATTAGAAAATAGATTTGTAGCACAGTTCACAGAATACCATTGGAAGTCTGAAATATTTTTTGGGAAATAACATCTGAATGTGAAAACCCAAAAATTATGTAGCATACACAGACTAAATGCTTACTGCTCTACAACAAATGTAAAGGAAATAGTAGTACTGTGGGTAATTTAGATCACACAAGCGTTTAACAGGCATCTGGACAAGATGTCAAAAGAAACAGATTTGTAATATTATCAAGCCAGATCCAATATTATAGACATGACTTCATTCTAACACAAATTACATTAAGAAACATTATCACATCTCACTGCTCTTACGCATGCTATGATTGGTTGAGACTCGGTAACATGACATGGAATAAAAATGGATATTACATGGTATATTGCCCGCCAAGTGGATATTACATGGGTATATCACATGGATGACGTCACTGAAACTACTGCGCAACGATACTGCGCATAACAAATTGTCATTCGCTGCACTGGTGCTGCTCTGGCCGCTGTTGCTTTCGGGGTTGCTTTCAGGGTTTTGAAGGAACTTTAGCCATCCGAAATAGACAGTGAACGTGCCAGAATGGATATTAAGTAAGATACTCTGTTTTG